AGCCTCGGCCTTGTGCACTTCATCCCATCAAAACCAGGAACCGAGCGCGGGCTGACAGGATTCCCCCGCTCTGACTTCAGTCCCCCAGGACAGTGCAGGGGGGGCTGCCAAACGCCCCGCAGGGCGGATGGCGACTCCGGTGACTCCATCGTTCCTGTGGGCGAGGGAAGTCGTTCATTATTCCCGGGACTGCGTCGTGGGCGCTGGCAGAGCTCGGAGCCGGCCGCCCCGTCCCCTCGGGACGGAGGGAGCAGCAGCGTCACCCGCTATCCGGGTTTTCCTGCACTGTGGATCCGGCCTCGGCCCCCGTTAGCGCCGGCCGCTGCCGTCACGGGGACCCAACAGCCCCTCTGGATTTTCTAGGGCGCCGCTGAGCTCCCGGCTTTGTCAGGGGAGGGCAGCACCGCTCTGCACAAGGATCATCCCTTCTGCTTCAGATGCATCGGTGCATTTAGCCAGCCTCATCCTCCCTAATTCAATTTCTTTTCTGGTAAGGAATGAGCAAAGAAACATTTCTACTGTGACAAGTAATAAATAAGAAGTGTGATTTACATTAGATTTTACCAAATAATAGCTTAACAGCCTTGAAATCTCACATTGTAATTACAAAAGTGCTCTCTCCCTACTGAAAAGTCTTTTTTTTTTAATATGTTGTATGAACATATTAAATATCTCTGCTCCTTTGTACCTTCTCCAAACACCGTAATTTGCTTTTCCTTTGAACATTAAAGGCTTAGGATTGTGTTTCTCCTATTGGCCAGCAAAAGCTGGATGCGGATCCCACGGATACTCTCGGAAGCGTCGCTGCTGGGAGCCCCTATCGCTTCACACGTAAATGCAGCTTCTCCTGCTTCCCTTTCTGTCCGGAAAAGGGTGTGCTAGGATGGACCCAAGACCAGACTCTGGCCTGGGGTTGCTGCTTCCTTCGCCCTCCTGGAGGTCTCAGCCCAGGTTCTCACAGCTACAGCATTAGTTTTAATTCCCAGCTACTTTAAAATGAGGTTTTTAACTCCTCCCTGGGCCTGCACATCTTGAAGCCGGGAGCAGGTCGGGAAAGGGCAGGGAGCCGCGGGGCCGAGGCTCTTACCTGGGGCGCTCCGCCGTCCTGCTTGTGGTGCAGCTTGAGCCTCTGGGCCTCCAAGTACTCCCGAAACGGCTTCTGGAGAGAAGGACCTACCCTTGGGACAGCACTGGCGCAAAGTCCATCCCAGAGAGCGAGACCAAACAGGGGAACAAAAACCAAAAAAAAAAAAATTTTTTTTTTCAAACTTACCACTTTGACCCAAATAGAACAAAGTTCAGCTCGAGCTACAGCTCAGAAGGGCATCGCTACGTGGGGAAGCAGATACCCCCACAACAAAGTACACTTTAACTTTGTAGCTGATGCTTCTGAAACGGATATAATATTTCCCAAAACGCTCAGGAAAAAACAAACAAACAAACAAACGAACACCACTCTGTGTGTGCAGATAAATATTTCAAAGCGAAGCGCGCGGAGGTGCCGGCCCGGGGGGGGGGAGCGCGGCGAGGCCTCCCCGCGCGCGGCCC